CACCATACTGAGACCATCACAACTGAGATGGGTCGGTCATGTTTCAAGAATGTGTGACATTTCCTTGACAAAGTGAAAAGTCTAAGGAGATCCTGAGTCTGGGAATGTGCTCTCAAGGTGCACTAAGGAAGTGCTCCAAGGACACTCTAAAGGCTTAGCTGAGAAGTTTTGTTGTTGATCCCGAATCCTAGGAGAAGCTCACTCAGGATTGCTGCACCTGGGCCAAAGAAACTGCATACAGTTCTTGTCGCCACACTACCAGAAGGATGGGGAGGCTTTGGAGAGTGTACAGAAAAGCTTTACCAGGACGTTGCCTGGTTTGGATGGTATTAGCTATGAGGAGAGATTGGACAAACTTAATTTATTTTCACTTGAAAGTCAGAGGCTGAGGGATGACCTGATAGACGGTCACAAAATTATGAAAGGCATGGATAGAATGGAGATTCGGAGTCTTTTTCCCAGGGTAGAAATGTCAATAACTAAGGGACATATATGTTTAAGGTAAAAGTGGGTAGGTTTAAAAGAGATGTGAGAAGCAAGTTTTTTTTTAAAACACAGAGGGTGGTAAGTGCCTGGAATATGCTGCCAGAGGAAGTGGTGGAGGCAGAGATAATAGCAATGTTTAAGAGGCATCTTGATAGATACATGAATAGTCAGGGAATAGAGGGATACAAGCCATGTAGAGGCAAAAGGCTTTCAAGTTTAGAAAAGTGTCATGCGTTGGCGCAGGCTTGATGGGCCAAAGGGCCAGTTCCTGTACTGTACTGATTTTTGTTCAATAAAATGTGGTGTGGCCTCCTTTGAAAACAAGCACACATCAAAGGTGAAGAGAAAACACAGAACCTTCCGGATGCTTAGCAGCTTCTGCAAGGATGATATACCCACTAGAATCCTACCAAATACCAAATGAAAATGGCCATGTTCACCTCTAGTAAAAAAAACATTTTCTATGATTTTGTTGTCCACAAAAATGTTATCACACCATTACAGTGGCAGGCGTCAAAAGAAACAAAGTCCTCTTCAATTTGACATTTACTTTTTTTGAAACAAGTCTAATGTTTAAGTGAATCTGCTGATGAGTCCCACAGAAGTGGTATCCGTGGGATTTAAACTTTGATTCATTTCAAAATTCAGCGTCTATTTTAGCTAGAACATAATAGTTGCACACCAAAAGAGCACATGCCAAACCAATGACCAAACATGAGCTGCTTACAATGAAGTCTCTTCTATGTTGGGGAAACGAAGTGCAGGCTGGGTGATTGCTTTGCAGAACACCTACTTTCTAGCTCCCAGTTGGTTGCCACATCAACACACCACCGTGGTCCCTGGCCAACATCTCCGTCTCTGGCTTGCTGCAGTGTTCCAGTGAAGCTGGAAGAACAGCACCTTATTTTCTGCTTGGTAACCTTGCAGTCTTCAGGACTTAATGTCAAGTTCAACAATTTTAGGCTTGAGCACCTTTCCCAATGCTTTCCCCCACCCCGCATACCAGACCTTGGCATTAAACAGGCTGCTATCACACAATACCCATTGTCAGTCAGTAATTTTCCCCATTAGCAGCTATTCAGTCCCCCAGACTGACCTTTATAACCACTTCTTTGTCTGTTCAACTGTTTTTCTCTCTCTTTGGGCTCCACCCATCATTTACCTCACCTCCTAACCTCCAGCCCATCTTCGGTGTAAAAAAAACATCCTTTTCCTAACTACCATCATTTCTGAGGAAGGGTCACTGGACCAGAAATGTTAACTCTGATTCCTCTCCACAGATGTTGCCAGACCTGCTGACATTTTCCAGCAATTTCTGTTTTTGTTTCAGATTTCCAGCACCAGCAATTCTTTTGATTTTTTTCTGTAAACATTTACTGGTCGATATAACACATCAGAAGAGTTACTAAGCTTGATTGATCTTGATAATGCCTAGTCTGGACAGAAGTACCACGGAGAAATAAGTAATTATTCTAGTTTAGTCTAAATGAGAACAAATTATATAAAAAGCAAAGGTTATTCAAAGGTCCATCTATTTGGCTCTGTGATTTACTTCAATGATTAACAATTAGATCATGAGCACCAATAGAAAGAAATCACATCCTATGTACAGCTAGATGAGGTATTAGTGCTGGTCCAAGTCAGCACTGCTGTCTATAACAGCACTGTAATATGAAGGGGTGAAAGCCGTTGTTATATATTGCCACTGACCTGAGTCAAAATTACTAAAATAAACTCAGCATAGATTCTTGAACAAATTATATTTAGCCATCCCCACCTTTAATCTCAAATTGAAATTAAGGACTCTTTTCTTTCCCTACAAACAATTCAGCGTTATGTAGTCATGCTCCAGTGCCACTTACATTACTCATTGCCTACATTAATCTTGCTAGAAGGGACAGCTTTCAGAACCCTTGCAGTCTCCATTCTGCTCACCTTCCTCAGGGAAATCAGCAGCTGTGTAAGTAGTGATTCTTTGTTCTGATTACAGTGCTGCATACTGGTTTGAATTCCTATCAGTTTGATCTTCCTTTATGGTATGCTTACTTCAGTTGGCTAGCAGTCAACAATTTTAATTACGCACAGTTACACTATCACTGCACAATACCCCACCACGTGCCTTTCCACATCTCCTTAGGACTATTGATTTCTAACCCATAATGTCCCCAGTAAAACAAGTGTCCATACGCAAAAAATTACACAAAAGCATTTCTGGAATTTCTATGTATTCAAAATCACCAACAGGCTTCACGTAGGAACAGCTTTTTGTTGGGTAACTCAATATAAGCATCACTATGTTCACAGACTCATTTGCGAATGTAGAACCTAGGATTAGGAGTAGGCCATTCAGCCCTTTGTGGTCTGCCTCATCATTCAATACCATCACGGCTGATTTCTGGCCATTCATACTTTCAAATGGAAGTTGGCTCAGAATCCCTCCAGATCACTGATCCTGAATGATCTTTTGCCTCCTAGATACTGAGTGCAAGGGGAAAAGATTTGTAAAAGGGGCACACTAAACAGCCCAAAGTCAGGGTCCCTGTTGTAGGTGAAGCTAACACAAAAGGACAGCCTTAAGAACAGAGTTTGAATGTACTGGGTGCTGGGCTCAAAAAAACACAGGATTTCAAAGGACAGTTAGCATCAAACTTGTGAAGGACAGATAGTGCTTGATTAAATTCACTGCATTTATTGTGGGAAAATATAGAACGTGAATGGGAATGCCTTAAGTGTTCTGAATATTAATTTTGAGAAGGCGCTTGATAGATTCAACAGAAAATGTTATGAGAAAATAACAAATGTGGCTTTAAAGGGAGTGTGATGATATAGACAGAGAAATGAAGAGAGACGAGAGAGAAAGCAATAATAATGGGTTCTGCACGTTTTACAATTATATACATGATTCAGGACATAATATCAAATTGGCATCGGAGCGCGATTGGAACGAGGTATTTTGTTGGTGCAAATGCGCGGGCCGTGGTAGCCTGCTATATTGCTGTAACCTGCGGGGGTTGTGGGGGGGGGGGGGGTGGTGGCATGTGTCCTCCACTTAAGCCTTTCATATGGGACATTCAAGTTTGGAGCAGAGTCCCATGACATTGCTTCTTTTTAACCCTTGTGCTTGACATACAGATTTTCCACAGCCTCCCCACGGTAGGTGAGGAGGTCCAGACATGCAAGGAGCATGGCAGTCATATCACAATACTTCTGCGAGTATCCACCAATAAATGGTGCCCCAGGCATTAGAGAATAGGAGCTTCTACTTTCAGCCTGTTTGTGATTTTTTTTTCGGACAATGGCCAATCAGTACCTCATCTTCATTCAGCTTCCTATTCTCCAAATCTCCCAAACCTTCAGCATTACAAATGATCTCAGGATCCACAGCCTTTCTGGGGAAAAGAGTTCCAGATTTTCCCTACCATTCATACAAAGGGGTGATTCGTTATTTCACTCCAAACTGAGCTAAAATAGACCAGTTCTGGAAGATTATCCCCATACCAAACGGAATGCATCCACCCTACTGAATCCCTTTATTATTTTAAAATATCTCAACTAGATCATCGCTCATCTTTCTGAATGTAATGGGGGATGCAACCTGTCTACATAATTGAATTATTTCAGCCCCAATATCTTTCTGGTGGTTCTATATTGTAGCCCTTCCTTGGGTAATGGATCATTCCCGTGGTATGGTGTCTAAGACTCTGAAGGATGGAAATAACATTACCCCAGTTCTGGAATCCAATCACCATGAGATAAAAGGCCAAACTTCAATCTCAAAGTCAACATCTATTACTTAAGGTGTTTAAACTTTTCCTCCAACAGATAGCTGGCTCTCAGTGTGAGGCCAAAATCCATTTTATGGTCATTATTAACTGACAGAACCTGCCAGTAATGTGCACTGGCCTTAAAAGATTTATATCATTGTTCCCAGTTGGTCTTCCCACACAGTGCCCAATCTCAGGTTATATTCCCACTGGCATTCATTCCCAGGCTGTATTCCCAATCGGTGCTTATTCTCAGGCTGTATTCCACATAGTGCTCATTCCCATACTGTACTCCCATCCAGTGCCCATTCCCAGACTGTATTCCCATCCCGTGCTCAATCACAGGTATATTTCCACATAATGTTCATTCCCAGTCGGTGTTGATTCCCAAGCTGTATTCCCTGTCAGCGTTCATTCCCAGGCTGTATTCTGAATTGGTTCTTATTCCTAGGCTGTATTCCACTCCCTGCTGATTCTCAGACTGTATTCCCAATCGGTGCTCATTCCTGGATGGTATTTCTGTTTCTGCCCATTGCCAGGCTATTCAGAAGGGATAGACCCAATCAGCTCAGAAGTATGTGTGGAGAAATATCAAACTTAATATGTATCCTATACATAATTTTAGCAGTCTCCTTTTCTGCATATACATTCTCATCAGCCTTGATTCATTTCTTTGACTGTTTTGCATTTGAAGTAAGTCAGCTGAAAAATACACTTCAGAGTTTTCAATAGAATTTATTTTGCACCTACCTGTAGCAGAGTCTGTAGAGATTTGTTTGAAGAACATCAAGGACACCATGATGGGGAGGAGAAAAGAGAAACAAGAACAGGTCAACAATATTCATCAGATTTAATTGGTGACATTCATCTTATAATTGAATATGATCAAGTTAAGTGCCTGATTTGTATTCTTGTCTATCTGAAGTACTGAAACCACAAACAAACTGAAGGTGAATTGGCCCTGTCAATGCAGCGTTGGTGCAACATGGCTTTGTTTCACATGGATGCGGCTGTTATATTGTAAATGCAGCACGCATTCGTTATCCGTGTCTCACATGATAAAGAATTTGAAACAGATGTAGAGTCCTGACATTTTTCTGGAGAGGGACATCTCACTTTGGAGTCAGGGTGGAACTTCCTCATCTGATTACACTCCAGATTAGTGTCACTGTGCTGTGGCTTCAGTTTCATAGTGCCTGTATCATTACATCCTGTTAAATTCCAGAACTGGTAAAACTCTACGGGGTGAGCTAACACATCAAAGTGAGCACCTCAATTCCATTCACATACAGTAGCTAAAAGGTCACAAGCCTGTAGCCAGAAGCTGGTTTCTGCTGTTGTGTTGGCACTGTTCTGATGCTGGTGCTTGCCTATAGAGGTAGCACTGCCCTGGGGAAACCACATCCTTGGCACTCTATAGCATTGCCACCAGGAGTGAGTTGTCATTGACTACAGCAGGCAATATCAGCATCTGAGATTTTTTATTTTCTGGTGCTTTTTGCTTTACAGGATGAATTACACCCATAGTAATACTGTCTGCTGGACATGTACATTAGCAAAATGACTGGTGCATAATCCATCCATTAACAGCTGGGTTGGGACTCCACAACAATGGCACCTAACATCAGCTCCAATGCTCCTCAAAACATTGAGTAGTGATGTACAGTTTCCATTCTGCATTGACTCCTACAGGAAATTAACTATAATTTATTAGATTCAACTGTAAACTGTAGAACACTGCAGTATTATGGAGTTGCTTTTGTCAAGGTGGTTTCTCTGTTGTGCAAAGCCATTAAAACTGACAGCATCGGTAACACCTGAGACATACAATGATCTCATTCCATCCTGCTATTTAAGATCAATAAATGCTGTAAGAACCAATTAACCCACATAATGCTGCCTCCCTGGGGAGTACTTTCATTCTGCTGTACAAGTGTATTAGCGAATGTTTCATCAACTTGTTCCCTCAGTTTCCCTTTGCTTGGACTTGGTTGGATGAGCTCAGTGTCAAACATCAATAAAGAATGCAAACTTCCATCTGATTATATAGTTAGGGGCAGGAGAAGTTATTTAGTCCCTCTGGCCCAGCCCATTCCATCCGTGTTTTACCAGCATCCCAAATCCTATTTGTTGATACCACCTTATTTGGTTCCATTCTGACATCTGTTAGGGTTTCTTCTTCCATCACCATTGTTGAAAATGCTCTGAGAGGATTATTCTGCAGTGATCTATTAGGACGCACTCTCTCTTCAGCCATCAGTGAAGTTATCCATTTTGGACTGAAAAGTGATAGATTAGGGAACTTTCTAGATGGAATGATGTTAAATACAGTGGATGTCCAAAGAGATTTGGGGATTTCAGGTGCATAGATCTTTAAAATGTCACCAACAGATGCGGAAAATAATCAAAACACTAGTGGAATACTGGCCTTTACATCCAGATGACTGGAGTACAAGAAGTTATGCTGCAGTTATACAAACCACTGGCTAGACTTCACTTGGAGTATCGTGAGCAGATCTGGGCACCACACCTCAGGAAGGATATATTGGCCTTGGAGGGAGTACAAGATAGGTTTACAAGAATTATACCTGGGTTTAAATTCTGGGGTTAAATTATGAGGAGAAATAACACAAATTAGACTTATTTTCTTTTGAAGGGGTGATCTGATTGAAGTCTTCAAGATTTTAACAGGAAAAGACAGGTGAATAGGATAAACTATTTCCAACAGTTGGGGATTCTAGAACTTGGCAGCATAGTTTGAGAATTAGGGCCAGAGCTTTCAGGAGAGATTTTAGGAAGCACTTTTACACACAAAGGGTGATAGATACTTGGAACTCTCTTCCACAAATGGTAGTTGATGCTGGATCAGTTGTTCATTTTAAATCTGAGATACATTTTTATTAAGGAAAGGGATTAAGGGATAGCGTCAAAGGCAGATATATAAGAGTTAGACCACAGAGCAGCCATGATCTCATTGAATGGTGGAGAAGGCTTGAGGGGCTGAATGGCCTGCTCCTGTTTCTATATTCTAATCCCAACCTGGAATTCTATCGCTAAAACCCTCTGTCCGACTGCCTTTCTTTCTCTCTCTCCTCCTCAGGAGTTCCTTCCAAATCTAACTTTAATCATGCGTTTAACTCATCTATTCCAGCTCACCAGCTGCTTCTCTCCATGAAGAAGCTGGGGATGAGATTCTAAACACACTGTGCACATCTTTACTGTGGCTGAGTCGATCATCGTCCTCAGCTCTCACTCAGCATCACCTCTAACCAAGTTTATACCATCCCCAATACATGTCTGTTTCCCAATTTTCCTTTCACTTCAGTTTCACATAAACAACCTTGTACCCCACTCAATTCTTTGGAAGATTTATGATGTTATCAGCCTAGTATTCAAAAGAAAGACTTGCATTTATGTGGCGCCTTCCATAACCCCAGGATGCTGAAGAGTGCATTACAGGCAGAAAAATACTCGAAGTGTAATTACTGCTGTAATGTAGGAAACAGAGAGGCAAATTGGTGCATAGAATGATCCCACAAACAACAATGTGATAATAGAGCTTTACTGCTGTTGGCTGAATGATAAGTTGGGACAAATTCCTTGCTCTTTCTCACATAGTGCTGTGGAATCTATTATGTCCTCTTGACTGGGCAGATGGGACTACAGCTTAACTCTCATGCAAGAGACAGCGTCTCTGACAGTGTATCACTGCCTGCTTTGGAGTGACAACCTGGATATTGATAAGGATCTGGATAATGAGGGTCTGCTTCATTTTAGTGCAACATTTTATACTCACTATGTACTACATGATTCAATAAATGATTTTTGAAGCCCTTGAGCAAATCTACTGATTGAGCTCCGTTGCTTATTTGATGCCAGAATCTAAACAGGTTAGTTTGATATTTTATATTCTGATATTACCTCTGAGCCTGAAGCGTTAACCTGCCCTTTTGTTCTTCATACGTTGACACATATTTTCAACTGTCTTTTCAGTTTAAGATTGACTAACTACCATAACCTAGCGAACATTTCAAACTGTTCTGCACTCAGGAATGTAAAAGCACATCCTTCTCAATCAACAGCCTCCTGTTAAGGGAGCATCTCTCTGATAAATCCACTAAACAAACAATCAGCATTACAGTAGATACAACATGTGGAACTACAAATGTACAGTTCTACAGAGCAAGGGGGAACGTCAAGGGATAAATGACATCAACCAATACGAACTTGGGATTAATACTAAAATAGCTTTAGGATTTTTAATCCGGTATCCATTGCTGGTGGAGTTTAAAGGAGAAGGAATTTCATTCTAATAAAAGGATAAATCGTTCAAGTGTGTATTCACATTGAATCTAAAATGAGTCAGTCAGGAGTATCTGCAATGTATTTCTTAACCCACACCCCCTCCCTTGCTTACACTGTGACATGATTCTACTCCATTCCTGAAGGTGGGAAATCCCAGTCCAGAGCTTCTTTCAAGGAGCTAGTTTGCCTGCATAAGACTAAAAGGCAATGGGTACCTGGCTATTTTAACTGGCAACGTCACTGTGAACTCAGCTGTTGTTCACCTTCAACACCCATCTGCGCACATGCCTTCAGTAGAGCTCACTGAATGGCAAAAAGGTGCAGGAAATTTCACAGATTTTTATCATCTTTCTCATTTGCTGTATGGAGGCTTAATATAGGCCCAACCTCTGAGCTAATCCAAGGCTAGTGCAGACTTGCACGCTCACACTATTCTTCCCCCATGTTTTCTGGTTATAGGTCTATCCCTCACCCTATTCCGAAGCCCTTTACAGGCCTGATTCCCAGCGCTAGTCTGATGCCTATTAACCAACTGAACAGAGCAATGTCAGATTTATCAATGAATCCAAACAACCTTAAAGCTTACCTCTTCAGAGTCAAAATATACAGAGACATGTACATACATATTCAGGGAGATTCACATGATCTTATGCATGCAAATTGTGATGAAAGTTTTTTTTATATCATTGTACAAATATCATTTCAAAATCATGGCACTTTGCTATTGGTCACTCTTGTGAAGGAATTCCATTTTTAAAAGAGTCAAGAAAATCCTTCCAGCACAGTGACTGTATCCAGCATTGCACAAAAAGCGAGTGACTGTAGACACTAGTGGTATCAATAAACTGTTTATTCTGTGGTGGTTCAGGACAAATGAGTAAACATGAATCTGGGTCCTCTTTTGTTTGTCATTTATATAAATAATTTGGATGAGAATATAGAAGGCATGGTTAGTAAGTTTGCAGATTACACCATAGTAAACAGTGAAGAAGGTTTTCTAGGATTACAAAGGGATCTTGATCAAATGGGTCAATGGGCTGAAAAATGGCAGATGGAGTTCAAACTGGATAAATGCGAGATATTGCATTTTGGTACAACAAAGAAGGGTACTGCTTATACAATTAATGGTAGGGCCTTGGATAGTATTGTTGAACAAATGGACCTCGGGGTGTAGGTACATAATTCTTTGAAGTTTGCATCACATTTAGAAAGGGTGGTTAAAAAGGCATTTGGCAGGCTTGCCTTCATTGCTCAGTCCTTTGAGTATAGGAACTGGGAAGTCATATTGAGGTTGTACAGGACATTGGTGAAGCCACTGCTGGAATACTGTGTCCATTTCTGGTTGCCCAGTTATAGGAATGATATTATTAAGCTGGAGAGGGTTCAGAAGAGATTTACCAGAATGTTGCCAGGTATGGAAGGTTTGAGTTCTAAAGAAAGGCTGGATAGGCTGAGAC